GTGGTCTGTATTAATCTTCATTCTGATATACACGCATGTAAGTACACTCGTATACCACGCTTGGAATGTAACCAGCTGTATCATACCACCATCCCGCAGTGAACTAGAGATTACCGCCAACACGGCGTTTGACACCTACCGGGACCTCTACTACGAAGGTGGAGTGTGCTCATGCTATTTTTGGAACACAGAGGGCGACGATTTCGCGGCTGCTATTCTAATAAAGAAAAGTATGTCGTCGATTTGTTGGTGTTTTCCCAAATGCAGTTGTTTTGGTTTTCGTTATGTTTTTATTCATTAAGTAGCTATATCTGAAATACTGTTTTGTTGGTATTGCTGATGTACCCGGTTGTCTGTTCGATTTTCTCCTGGTTGTCATCGATGGGCATTGCATTCGGTGTTCTTATTGATTTTGATATAGGTGATGTGTCTGTGAGTGCTTGCAGATCAATTGTGGCTGTGTGTGTCGCTTTTATTGTGTATTGTCGTAGATATTGAGATGGTTAGGTACAGATCTGCTTATTTCGTTGAATAATCCGGGGGAGAAGAGAGTTTATTTCCTATTTTCATACGTATATGTATATACATATATATATATATACACTTTCTCCTCTGCTAATTCAATATTATTTTTGGTATCAGCTGGTGATGGGGTGCGAGGGGTACATGGTTGCTGGGATGCCATACACGTGGTAGACGTCAAGAATGAGAAGAATCAGGCCACATACAAGATGACATCAACCATCATGTTGTGGATGAAGACCACTACCGACGGCTCTGGAGACATGGACCTGGGCGGAAATATGACCAAAACGGTACAAAATACAAACTCGGAGTGTTTTAGTATATGAGGGGAGATCCCTAGTACGCAAATCGAATATGTACTTAATAGCTTAGTGTCAGTGTACAGTAAGCTAGCTGGAGGAGAGGCGCGTTGATTGTTTAACCTTGCCGTTGTGTTTGCGATACGCCTGCGAACTGATGCCGCAGCAAACATTTTTATTCCTGTAAAGGCGTATCGAATGCGAATGCGAAAGCACTATCGGTTGAATTGTGTTGTTGCTGTGCTGTCAATGCCCGTTGGTGTAGTCCTCCTCTAATGCGTATCCATCAAGGCACCCGGTGTCGTTGTATGTCCGAGCTTCATTGCAATGCTTCGTGTGTGAAGTGTGATCCACATTTTGTTGGTGTGGGTGGTATTCATTGCGTTCAAGTTGGGTACAGTGTATAATTATACGCACAGACCCACTAGCCCTTGGTAGTATGTTGCGACATATGTGCATATGCTCATCGGATAAGCTTGCCTATGCCGCCATCGCTGGACTTATAGTTCATACAATTGTCTTTATTTGTTGTGTTGTATTGGGATGCAGACTGAGGAGACCCTTCCAGTAAATACTACGAAGCCACACATAGCCAACATTGGAACAATGATTGAGGACGTAGAGCTCCGCATGCGCTACACCTTGAACGATGTGTACTTTGGCAAGACAAAGGTACTGTACATTTTTTTCTAGGCGAACATCGTCAAGGTCGATAGTCCACTTTTATAGCAGGTATCTGCCAGCTGCATACCTGATGCGGATCTATCGCCAGGTAGTTGCACGCTGTATACAGTTCGCTATCGAACCTTGATGCTGAGACTTAATTTGTGTTGCTGTTGTTGAGATCAACTCTATCAAAGTCTCCAGCTCATGATGTCTTGTTTTGTTGCGTACTTCAGGATATCTGCAATGATCTACGGTCAATATCGGCCCTTGCCGATGTTGCTCACAAACGCAAGCTTCAGGTATGATCTTTACCGCAAACCATTTCCGTATATTTTCTCGATGCTTAATTTTCCTTCCTGAGAAAGCGTCATATTTACAACCCTGCTCGTCGTCATCTAATGTCTTGGTGTTTGTTGTGCAGTGTGGTTGCACCAAATGTAGCATGTGTAAAGGATGTCGCCTGAGTTGGGGAGTTTCGCTCTATGATTGGATTGAAAGAATATGCTCGCCTTCCTGAACTTGTGTCCACATATAACTCATAGAGAATTCCTTTGATTGCTTGTAGGAGAAAATTGCGAGTCAAGTCACCGGCCGCGAGTAATCTTCCAGTCGAATCCTTTACATTCACGCGCGAGACTTCTAGTAATAAATTGAATTACCTATATGATGGAACGGTCACCCAGAGCCCTCTGGTCCCCAGTACTACAAAGAGACAGAAACCACTGAATTTACCACAACACCCCTTTATCATACGCTTGTTAAGTATAAAATTCACATATGCTGCTTTGGGGAACATTGGTAGGAGGCCTTTCAATTGGTTTTCTTTTGAAGCGCAGTGTCAATATGAATACAAACACGCTTGTCTCAAATATAGAATACATATAAGTCGGCGTATGCGCGCGTATGAAGGGCTCGCATCCTCCAGTTGCTATGTCTGATTCTGTGATATCTACTTTACTTGTCCCTGCCTATAGCTATCTTGTTCCGATGCAACTTGGTCAAATAGGGTTGAATTGCCTTCGAGGATATCTATGTCCTTGTGCCTATTCAAAAAAGTGTTCAATCTTCGAGGGTATCTATGCCCTTGTGCCCTATTCAAAGAAGTGTTCAATAACGTATTCCACCACATGCAACTTTTATTTCATCATTTAGTTTAATCAGTCATTAGAAAATAGTCAAATTGCGCTATATTCACATTCTACAATATGAGATATAAGTGATTCACGTGTTCTAATTGTATTGTGCACAAGCACGCTGACTTTTGTGCGCAAAACAAGGCGTCGTACCCTGCTAGTCTGTCACGTATATCTCAGTCATGCGTATCTTTGCAGTATTAACAACACTTCATTTGTTCTGCTTCCCTGTTCAATCTGTGTTGTTGAAGAAGTACATTTGCTCAAAGTGTCCCCCAGTCTGCGTGTACGTACGTGTAGGCTCGTGGGCGTAGATCAAAGCGTCATACTCGCCCTTCTCTGTCGCGAACGTGTTGGGGTTCCGGCGTGCGTGGTTAATAAACTCGGTCGCCATATACAGAGCCGCAGAGATAGCCGATGCCGTGTGGGAGGTGTCGTGGTGCTTTTCGAATTCGAACACATTCTGTGAGTTAATTTGTAATGGACAGATGAAGCAGGTCAGAAACGTTTGTTATGATGTTAAATATAGTATAATAATATATTCAACGTAATTCAATTTATTTGTTTTTGCTTTCGTGACGTATCGAATAGATATAGTAAGCTGGATTGTTCGAAGTTGTTGGTTTAACTATCGGGCACAACAGAATCGGACAATCATCAACATATGCTATGGAGAACAAAGGGGCGACGAGTAGATGCTAAACCATACAAGGTGCTACCATAAACAAAACATATCAAACTAGATTGTGTCAAAATGCGCCAGAAAAATAAATAGTGAAGTGAATGTGTGCACCAACACCCGTACCTTTTCTGGGTGGAACTGGACGCCGAAGATTGGGAAGTCTCTTGCCTCGAAAGCAGATACAAATTCTGCGCCTACTCGATCCTTGTTGGTGGACAGTACTTTGAAGAAATCGTTGAGTTTCTTGTTACCGTAGAATCTCGAGGGTGTGACACCCATGCCGTGTTCATTGGAAGTAATCTTTTCAATGGCGAGGCTCTCCATAACACTTTGGGGAGCGTGCGCAAACATGACAGAGTCCTTTGCCCTGAAAAGGCACGGCAAAAGAATAGATGGTAGAACATTAGCAGGTGTGAAGAATACATCGACTCGATAACGGGGACGGTGTGATAAAAGACTACAGCCTATTTTCGTTACTGATTACAAGGTTCTCAGCCACGCAATTGTATAAGCATCGTAGACAAGTAGACAATTCCAAAAAAAAACCCCTTTTGTTTATTTTGATCATCTATATCTGTTTCCCACAAAAATGACAGAAATGATTACATAACTAGATACACTGCGAGGAGTGGCTAGCCTCATTTCTTCGGCTGCGCGTTCTGTTACATACTGTATGTGACAAGAGTGTTTTCGTTTTTATACATACAATTGCCTGCACCTGCGGAGATTTAATATTTATCCAATCCCTGTCCTCTCTTAATACCACACCTGGCACACATAGATATAACACAAAATACACAACAACCACACAGTCACATACTCATTGGTGAAATCAAGTGGCAGAGATAGGTTCTCAGCTTTGAATCCCGTATCGAGAATGTTGAAGTCTTCGCTCACCATGACGGCCAAGAACTCATGGCCAAGGCATGTGCCCCACAGAGGCGTGTGCTTACCAGCCTCGTTTGCTTTCTTTGTGAGCTCAAATAACTGCAGGCCTAGCGAGTGTCGAAAGAGTGTTGTATATTAGCAGAACTGGGTGCATACACGTGTGTCTATGGTATGCAAATATGTGTCTATATACACACATGCGTATGGGTATGTACATCGACGACCCTGCAAATGTTTACTAGAGTGCGTTCTCATATATGTACGCGCTGTGTATAGGTGTTCCCCACACATACAATATGTGTTCAGGTTTTCCATGTCTACACATTTGTATGAACATGCAAGCGGTAGCCCGGGTATGGACGGTACATGGCTCGTAGAAACACAGTATGATATGTGTTGTTGGCAAAGGTGTTGTTTCCAACCGAAAAAGAAAATTGCATCGCATTTGCAACTGGCTTATTTTTAGAGTACAGACATGGTCACAGACAATGTGCCAACCCGCGATACATATAATCTACCATTAAGAACCTAATGCGCAATTATCTATACCTCATACAAAAAGGAATTGACAAAAGAATACATTTTGAAAATTCCAATTTCCTCACAACAAGTACGTGTGCATATCAGCGCCCACAATCAGCCACCTACCAGCGTTGTAGTAAGGGTTATACGACTGAATGTCTGATGCCCCGCCCATGTAAAGCACTCCATTCACGGAGTTGAAGAGTTCGGTGATGCGTTCCGGGGATGAATCGTAGTGAATTGGAACTGCGCGCCCTCCTGCAGCCTCCACCCCTGAAGAGTAATCACCCAACTACGTATAAATATGCTCCAAATATGTGCAGAAGCAGACAGTACAGGAGTGTAGCTATGGGTGGCATATCAGTTATTTAATTCCCCGTGTAGGACAATCACATTCTATTCTATGTAGTATAGACGGCGGACTCTCGAGAGTGACATGTACGGTCCTAGAAGAGTGCGTTCTAAAATGAGCGTGAGAGGAAGCAAGTTCACACGTCCAAAAGAATACTACATCATCTACGCTAGGCTATAGAAATATTCGGCCCGACAATTTCGCATATTTACCCGTAGGCGAACCTATCGCACACAAAACAACATAACTTTGAAATTTCGGAAAAGAACTGGCTATCGAATCTAACAAAATACAAGCCTTTCAAATGGCAACTCATTGTAATGACATTTTGATAACGAAAACAGAAGTACCCGCTTATCAATATGATAACGAAACCTATTGTCACTGGATCTGGACCAACTTACATTTCACATAGCTAGCGTAAATCATAGAGGATCCGAAGTGCGACAAATTATCTTCACTGTTTGGCTGAGTCCTGGATATGATAGTAAGCGAATAGCGACAGAATGAGAAACCAGTAGAACCACTCCAATCCATGACTCAATCCTCAAAGATACACAACTATGTAACGTCAACGTGCTACAATGGTAAATATAAAAGCAATGGGCGTACACAAGCATATATATATACATATACATAAAAGCAACGTGCGCACACAAGCAAATATATAT